CCCACCCACGCGCCCGGCGGGAGTTTAAGCCACTGGGTCCAGGACTCGAACTACGATCGACTATGTGGGAGTCCACCGACATACCCATTATACCACCTGCTGGTCCCACCATACCTTTTTTGAAAGCAAGGCACCTCTGATGGATAGGGAGGTTGGCAAGGGCGAGAGGAGGCAGCTGACGTGCTGCCTGAGCTGGCGCTGCCTGAGAGCACCCGTTGTCCCTTCCCTTCTTTGACTCACTCCTACAGGCTAAGCCCCGTCAGCCATGGAAACACAATGGCCCTCTTCTTCCGGTCGCTGCTGCCAAATTACACCGTGGAGGTGAGCAAGCCTTAGCCCTCCCCGCCTTCCTAGAGAGCCATGAGGTGCCAGTCCCCCTGGCAAGGCAGGACGTCCCCTGAGCCACAGTAGCCAGTCCAGGGTGAGGCGCTGGGATCAGCACAGGCCTGGCTCGAGTGCTGTGGGTTTCCAAGTCCTCTCCTCGGCTCGGACCAGAGCAGGGCTGGGGGCTGGTGCTGGGTTGCAGGCCACCTCAGGCTGTGCAGCACAGCTCCCGGCGGGGCCTGGGTCCCACACCCCGGCACGGGCAGCCCTGCTCAGGCACATCTTGCTGCCACAGGGGGAGAGGCCGGAGGACGGAGTGGCTGGGGGTCCGAACCACAACCAGGGCTTGAACAGGCTCATGCTGGCCGTGCGGGACATGATGGCCAACTTCCACTTCAATGACCTGGAGGCTCCACGTGAGGACAACCCCGAGGGAGACGGAGAGTGGGACTGAGCCGTGTGCACACGGCCTGACGCCCTGCGTCGTGCTCCTGCCTCTGTCCTGGTTGGGGCTGGCCGCCCTGAGTGCTGCCTGCTCCTGTAAACGTAAACAGCTTGTGCTCTGCCAAGCGTGAGCTTTTCCTTCCGGGCACCAAGCCCCACCCAGTGTCTCCGAGTCCACGTTTGCGTTCAGTCCCCCAGAGAGCAAGCCCAGTGTGTGAGGAGGGGCCACACCATGTGCCCCCATGGGGTCCCCCACACAGGGTCCCTGCCATGCTCCTCATGGGTGTGGGCCCTCAGGCTAGGCCAGAGCAGCGCGATGCCCTCGCCCTGGCTGGTCAGGGCCTTCCTGCGCACTTGGGGGCTGGATCCGCGGGGCCCCTCACTGGGCGCCACAGATGTCAGTATGACGAGGTCTTTGCATTAGGAAACTGGAGGGCAAGCCTGAGTTGAAGGGGATGCCCAAGTAGTTTTTGGAAAGGTTGTATCTGGGTCGCTCCGGGGATGTACGAGCAGGTATGGGGTGTTTGGGGTGCACAGGACACTCTGACCAGGACCCTCAGCCCAGGGGCTTACCAGCTGGGGCCTGGGCTGGGCTGGCACAGTTGACTGGGCCTTAGCCCCCCCAGGGCGCTGTGACCACAGCGGACAGAGGTCACTGCTCCAGACATCACGCCTGCACCTGGACAGATTTAAGGTGGTCTGGGAAGGTCTGGCCACCAAGAGCTGTGAACTTCCCCAGCTGGCCCTCCCGCCTCCCCGAGGGCTGGTCCTGGGCTCCGGTGGGCTCTGGGCAGCGCACTGCAGGTGCCAAGGCCCAGTCCTGCCTCCCGTCTCCTAGGAGGTGGCATGGACTCTGCATGAGGCTTGTGGAGGCCGTCCTTTCGGCCTCCTGGTGGGGTCTTGGGTGTCCCTGGCTGAGGGGTTCCAGCTGCACTGAGCAGGGGCCTCACTGCTCAGCACTCGCCGAGAAGGGCAGCCGGGAAGTGACCCGCAGGGGCCCGTCTGAGATCTCGGCTGATCATTCCTAGGACCTGCACGGGCCTCATGGCTGCAGCTACGCTGTCTGCAGTGCAGTGAGGGTGTGTGGTGGAGTTGGTGCTGCAGCTCACTGTCCAGTCTGGGTATGGGCCACGTGGCCACGTTCACAGGTCAGAAGGGGCTTCTGGCGAGGACAGGCCCATCAGGTCACCCAGCCGTTAATCCTTGTCACAGTGACTGGAATGGGTGGGGGAGGGAGCAGGGTTAAGATCCTAGCCCTGGATGTCTCCTCTGTTCTTCACTGCTCACCCACGCCCCCCCCCCCCTGGGGTCTCTGGGGTTGGGCGGGGGCAGCTCACTGTCCAGTCTGGGTATGGGCCACGTGGCCACGTTCACAGGTCAGAAGGGGCTTCTGGCGAGGACAGGCCCATCAGGTCACCCAGCCGTTAATCCTTGTCACAGTGACTGGAATGGGTGGGGGAGGGAGCAGGGTTAAGATCCTAGCCCTGGATGTCTCCTCTGTTCTTCACTGCTCACCCACGCCCCCCCCCCATGGGATACTGGGATTTGGGGAGTCTGCTGGAGACGCTGTTTTCAAAAAGTGACAAGCAAGGAGAGCTTGTCCCCACCGCCTGCCTCTCCCTGCAGCCTTAAGCCTGCCCCGGTGCAGGTGTGGTGTAGTCTGGAGCTGCAGCAGCCGCCCTGCTCCAGGAGTGGAGTGCACAGTGAGGCAGGAGGCGGCCATCCCAGGCCCTGCTGCTGCTGAGAGCACTGCAGCCCCTCCTCCCTCAGCAGTGCTGCTTGACGTCTGTGTGCAACTGAGCACGTTCCCAGTGTTGGAGCAGGGAGCCCCACCTCTGTGAACCCCTCTGGCTCCAGAGGAGGCTGAAGCACATGGGCCCAGTGCTGAGGGCAGGTTGGTCATCGGTCGCCCCTTCCCACCAGGGCAGACCCACCTGAGTGTCCCTTACAGACCGCAGGGTGGGTTCAAGGAGAGCCCGAGGATCGCCCTGCACTCTCACCCTCTTAAGTTCAAAGGAAAACTATGGCCCTCCCACCAAGATAGCCTCACCTGTCTCAGCCTGGCCTCTAGGAGCTGCTGGGGCCACCAGGATTACAGCGGCCAGGGGCTGGCTCCTGGCTCCACAGAAGGCAAAGGGCCTGGGCCCTCTTTGGGCTGTGGCTGGCGCTGGGCCCAGGGCTCCTGTTCTCAGCCACCTCGTGGGGACTGTCCAGCAGGAAATGGTGCTGGGGCCGTGCTGCCCACCACGTGCCCCCGGCCACTTGCCAGTTTCCCAGGGACTCCGATGGAAGCCGGGGTAAAATTAGCCTCAGTATGATTCCATCCAGCCCCAGACCACCCTAAAGCCACTTTCGGCCCCTCCACATCCTCCGTGACCGTGACAAATCGAAAGCTTACTCTTCAGCCCCGCTGTGCCCTTTCCACAGAGCCCCACAGGCACGTCATGTCACTGGGAACCGAGAGGGGCGCCCCGAGCAGAGTCACCCTGTTTCCGATGCCTCCAGCTGGTTCCTGCCAAGGATAAGGCTGTGGTTGTCAAGGCCGAAGGCTGCCTGGCCCTCATGCCCTTTGAAGTCTCAGGCCGGGTGGGTAGGGGAGGAGGGCTTGGTTTACCGCCCCATCCCGGGTCTCAGGGAGCTGGAAGTGCTAATGTCCCTGGCGCAGGACAGCAGATGGGGCGTAGGGCTGGCTGCCAGTCCCAGAGGTGGTCTGCAGTTGCTGGGGCCTGGGGGTGACAGCTGCAGTAGGAGTCCATGGCCATGGCTTTGCCGTCCTGTCATGCCCTGGGGACAAAGGTGGCAGCAGGCTGTGTGGGTGTGTGCACGTCCAGGTGTGTCCTGGGTACCAGGCCCTGTGGAGCCTTCTCACCCTCTGGCTGGCTGGCTCGGAGGGCACTGGGTACATGCACTGCCGGAAGCGTAATCGGCCACCGGTTTACGGAGCAGTTTGGCCAAATGTGCTGAAGGGGAGGCACATCTCTACCACACGGCCCCTCCTAGGGGGTCACCCAGCAGGGACGTCCCTAGCAGCTCTTTGTAGGAGGGAGACCAGGAGCTGCCCTAGTGCCCAAGGTGCCCTTTTCGCACTGGACACAGCTGTCAGTGGGTCACATGTCTGCAACCTGGACGGTGTGGCGGCCCAGCAGCCAGAGGAGCACAAGCTGTGCGCATGCCCAAATGCCGGGAGGAGGCCGGAACTGGCTGTGACCATCACCCTGAGGGGTGGTTTCTCTCTCAGCAAGTGCACTCCCCCATACCAAATTAGGAAAAAGAGTGCAAGAATGCCTTTGTAGGCTCAGCACGCCTGAGAAAAAAATTACCCCACTAGAAAACAAAGGGGGCCAGCAGGTGGTGCACAAGTTAGGACACTGGATCCCATGTGGCCAACTGCACGGACCCAGGGCTTGAGAACCGTGCAAAGCACTTGTGCATGCCTGCCCAAACCCCAAGAGGAAGAGAAGGGATTGTGGTGTGGCCATTCCCTAGCTGGTGATTTCTCACTTCTCTCTGGTGAGTGCATGAACCTTACAGCAAAACTATTAAAACTAAAAGATGAACCAGCCGGTGGCATGGTGGTTATGATAGCTGGATCCCACATGGCTGATGGCGCAATTCAAGTACCGACCTGGCAGCTTAAAAACACGCCAGGCTCTTGTGTGTGTGCCCAAAATCCCCAAAAGAACGGAGGAGGAAAGACTATAGCCTGGCCATCCACCTGGGATGTGCTTCCTCCCTTCCCACTCCCTCCCCCTCTCTGGGGAGAACATGTGTCCTATAACTTTTTTTTTTTTTTCATTTTTAGTTTTTTTATGTAAGGAGCACTTACCAGAGGGGAAATGAGAAAGCATCCCCGGGGATGGCCGCAACACAGTCCGTTCTGTTCTCCCTAGATTTGGGCATGCACACACACACGCACGCACACGCTTTTCAAGTTTCTGGATCTGGAACCACATACTTGGTCATGTGGGTTCCAGCTGCTGGCCTCAATAAGAACTTTTTAAAGGAAAAAATGGGGAATAGCAGATGATGTAATGGTTATGTTGCTGAACTCCCACGTAGTCGACCGTGGTTTGAGTCCCAGACCATGCAGCTTAAAACACTCCAGGCACGTGTGTGTGTGCCCAAAATCCCAAGAGGAGAATGGAGAAGGGATAGTGGTGTGGCCATTCCTCCCGGAGTGTGAGTAATTTCTCATTGTCTCTCTCCAGTGAGCACATGTGCCCTATAACAAAAATCTCTCTTAAAAAAAAAGCAAAAATGAAACAAAAAAGGGGAGGGTAATCACAAGTTGTAATATGCAGACGGAGTAACATTCGCTCGTGGACATCAGCTCAGGCTTGTCTGGTGAGTGAGGTGGGTGTCACGGGGTCATAGGTGTGGCAGTGGGGCAGATGAGAGAGAACATGGACTTCGACCTGAAGGTCAAAGGGCACTGAACGCTGAATTGCCTTGGAACCTGGCCCCTGGCCCCACCTCCACCACTCACTGACCGTGAGCAGGCCCTCGTCTTCTCCCTGGCCTCTGCTCTTCCTGTAAATGGGGGCAATGAGCCCGAACCCTCCCACCCTGCCTGCAGAGGGGGTTCTGTCATCCGCACAGTAAGAAAGCACGCAGAGGGGCAGCCCGATGCCCGGGGTGGGCCCCAGCAGCCAGTTCTGACCACGGTGAGGTCCACGGAGCACCATGTGAGATAAGGCCGGCCTTTGATCTGGGGCCTGCGGTCCTTCCGTGGGGGAAGTGGGCGTCACCAGGGGAAGGTGGGCAGCTGCCAGCTTGGAGTCCCCATGAGTATGAGCAAGAGTGTGATGTGACTGAGGGGTACTAGGGCTGTCATCAGGGTGCTCCCTGGAAGCCATGCAAGGAGCCCCTGTGGTGGCCACCCTCTGCCCACTCAGCGTAAGAACTTGAGCTGCTGGGTCGTGCTCCCACATGGCCTTCCAGCTGAGCTGGGAATGCAGGTGCTGCCCCGGGAGCTCCTGAGACCAAGGCTGGGTGAGTGGTTGGGATGCTCAAGGAAGAGTGTCCCCAGAGGAAGGTTAGGAGTTCTGCAGGTGGGAATGCACCAAGAGTCCAGACACCGGAACACTGGCAGCCAGGCCTGGAGATGGGGCTGGCCACAGCAGCTCTGAATGCAAAGCAGAGAGCCATGCTGGGTGAGGGGCTGGTTGTGCTCACACTACCAAGTGGCGGCCTGGGCTGTGGGGGCTCCCACGCCTCACACACACCCCCGTCACATGGCTGCCCTCTGGAGGAGGGGCTCTGTGGACGGCTTTAAAGATGCAGAGAAAGGCTTCATTCTTCTGGGACCTCAGCCCACCCTAGCGCAGGGAGGGAGGAGGCTGGGCAGACCTACCAGACCAGGAAGGATGAGAAGCACAGAATGTCCTGGCTGAGCGGCCTCCCAGGAGGAGGTGTGGAGGGGGCACTGAAGACCGAGTTTGTCCCCTCCAGGTGGGGGACTCCCTGAGCCCCAAGGGTGAGGGTTGGGTCCCTGCCAGGCACTGTCTGGATTGTGACTGGGCGGGCCATCCTCGGGCCAATCTCATTCCAGCCAGAGAGAGGGTGAGTCTGAGGGCAGGTCTGGAGGTGTCCCGGCGCAATGCGGCTGGCATGGGGGACACCGAGCCCTCTCGGTGGCTCCATAAGCTGAGTAGGGCAACTGGAGAGTGAGGGCCCGTGGGCATCCGGGACCCTCCACTGCCCTGCTTGCTTCGGACAGGACGATGTCTGTGCAGGAGCCCCAGAGGAGGCTGCTGGGCTCCCTCAACTCCACCCCCACAGCCACCGCCCGCCCCGGGCTGGCCACCAACCAGACGGGGCCCCAGTGCCTGGAGGGACCCGTCCCTGCCCGGCCGTGCCT